ATTATTTTTGAAAAAAATATTATATATACATCATTATAACTGTTAAATTATACAAAAAATCAATTATAAGTGTCATTTCTATTTCTTATTTAATCATACATTTATTTGTTGGAGTCCATAGAAAAGGTACAAAAATTTAAAAGTGAAGAGCAATATAGTAATAATGGAGATGATTTCTAAAACTCTTAGAAAGCATAGAGTAGAAAGAATACATGGGGCTGAATATGATGTCATTTAGAATTTTGACTCTCTCTACTCCATTAACGTCCTGCAAAACATCATAATCCTTAAATTATCAAATGCTACACTTAACCCTATTAGGAAAAGATAAATAAAATAGCAGAATAAGAAAGTTTTGAGGCATAATTTCACTTTTTTTAAAAGATTTAAACATCCCCTATAATACAACATAACTCAAAAACTCTTTTAGAATTAGGTATAGAACATGAACTTTGTAAAAGAAATTATATTGTCCAAATGGACATCAACTTAGGGGTATGTTTTTATAGAAAGATATATGTTAAATGAATGTGTTCTTACATAAATACACTACTATAGAAAAGTGCCTTTTGTTGCCAAAAATTGTGTATGAAATTTCATATTTGTCTTTCTAATTTTAAAAAATTAATTAAAATAAATTCAAAATTCAAAATTAATTAAAAAATAAATTTCATCTAAATGATAATATATAAGGGCCAAAGGCCTAAACTCAAAGCTTGCAAGTCTTGAGTTCTAACTTTCCATAATTATTTATGGATAGAAGATAAACATATATAAATCCCCTTATTTCCTTATTCTTCCCAAATGTGAGATTTTTACTTTCCAAACTATTCAACAAACCCTAACCCTTATCACTACTCAACAAGATAGATTGGATTGAATATGTAGAACTACAACAATGGAAAGAGCAGTCATCATTCCTTGTCTTTGGAAGCAGCCTCTGGTGCAGTGGTGGCAACAGTCATCAGAGAATCGAACTTGTCAGACTTGCTCAACACAATCTCAATCTAGAATTAATTGAAAATCAGAAGATATATATAGAGAAATAATATTATATGTATGAACTGTTGAAATTACAAGAAAACTAGAGCTAGCTAGCCCACCTTGGCTTTTTGGACCACTCGCCCTTTATTCTCATCCTTGATGTTAACTGTAGATGTTAACAGTTCTGTCTTGTTGGGAGACAGTATATAGCAAGGATCAGATCAGCAATGCTTTTTGGCATGAACGAAAGAGCTTTAGTGTTAATTAACTATATATAAGATAAGAGGAGGATTCTTACTCTTCTCAGTAGCCAATCCATTGTTCTTTAATATCTCAGCAATTGTAACAACAGTAGTGATTGCTGTAAAAAAAAAAAAAAAAAAAAAAGAAAGAAAAAACAAAACAAAAATATAAGAGTAGGATGTTAAAAAAAATAACAGTAGGAGTATTGTTCTTTTATTTTATTTTCAATCAATTTTTTTTTAACATTAGTGGTGAAACTCAAATTTCATACTTATTAAATTTAGTATAAAAAATTCTTTTATAAGAGAGAGTTTGTCACTAAATTACGAGAACGTTGTCTATTTTTAATGATGTTAATAAAAGAAAAAGAGAGAGAGAGAGGGAGAGAAACATCATTTCTGAATTCCATTGATGGGATTTTATCGTTATACAAAAGCTATACATAAATTCCACATACATTCCAGCTTTATGTGCCAAAAATTTTACTTGTGAAATACCATTTTAAGAAAATGTATTAATTATTAATAAATTACTTAATTAATGCTAATTGACAAAAAAAGTGCAAAACAATATGCTACTATTTTAATTTAAATCCATTTTCCCGTTTAATTATTTCAATCAAATAAGACTGGTAAAATATGATCCAGCAAAATTAAATGTTTATTGTACCCATTCCCAAAGCACAAAGCTCCACCTCATTGTTCTGTTGAATATATCTCTGCAATAATAGAAAAACAACATTATGATAAACAAACAATATAATGTATAATTTGCGCGTGTATATATAAATGTAAATTCTAAAACAAGAAGCCAACATTAAATTGATCAAACTTTAACTCAAGAAAACTTAAATCTAAGATTTATTTAACGGTTTCAAGGCCTTAATTTGATATATGAAAAAGAAACACATATAATTAAAAACGTAATTAATTTGCATCAAGAATATATCTCATTTTAAATATCAAGAAGCTAGCATAGTATAAATCAAATATCAAACCAACAATAACTTGATCGAATTAATACTTATTAATTTAAAAAATTTTAATTTAAAATTAAAATTAAATAATCAAATCTCTATATTATTATGTAACTAACTCTTTAATATATATATATATATATATAAATCAAATATCAAAGGAGACTTGAAAACAATTTGATTTGATTTTCTTTTACATTTTCTTCACAACCAAACAAATTTATTATCAATTCTAATAGAGTGACTCAATAATTAAGAGTTTGAGAGTTCAAATTAAAGATCTTAAGTTCTAACATTGAGTTGGGTTTAAGTCGAGTGAAAAAGGATTTAAGAATAAAGAAGAGTTATTCTTCTTATATAATCAATAATTAAATATACAAAAAAAAAAAAAAAAAAAAAAAAGAAAGAAAAAACAAAACAAAAATATAAGAGTAGGA